GAACAGGCTCTAACGTTTCAACACTTTCATTCGTTCATCCGATTTGATTAATCTTATATTGAGTATACACTCCCGGGACCATCCTCGGAAAATTTCGAGAAAATCCTAACGGGAAAGCTCGAGTAATGTTGCCGCATTGCCCCATCATCCATAATTCGCGAGTCGCGTATATTCAGGTCAGGCTCTATTGGTTCATCAATTTCATTAGTTCATCCGATTCGATGGATTATTGTTTGAGTATGACTGTATGAATACTCCCAGGACCATCCTCGGAAAATTTCGAGAAAATCCAAACGGGAAATCTCGAGCAATGTTCATGAAATTCCCCATCATCCATACGAGTCGAGTCGCGGATATTCGGAACAGGCTCTAACGTTTCAACAGTTTCATTCGTTCATCCGATTTGATCAATGTTATATTGAGTATACACTCCCAGGACCATCCTCGGAAAATTTCGAGAGAATCCAAACGGGAAATCTCGAGCAATGTTCATGAAATTACCCATCATCCATACGAGTCGAGTCGCGGATATTCAGAACAGGCTCTAACGTTTCAACACTTTCATTCGTTCATCCGATTTGATTAATCTTATATTGAGTATACACTCCCGGGACCATCCTCGGAAAATTTCGAGAAAATCCTAACGGGAAAGCTCGAGTAATGTTGCCGCATTGCCCCATCATCCATAATTCGCGAGTCGCGTATATTCAGGTCAGGCTCTATTGGTTCATCAATTTCATTAGTTCATCCGATTCGATGGATTATTGTTTGAGTATGACTGTATGAACTCCCGGGACCATCCTTGGAAAATTTCGAGAAAATCCAAACGGGAAAGCTCGAGCAATGTTGCCGCATTGCCCCATCATCCATACGAGTCGAGTCGCGGATAATCGGAACAGGCTCTAACGTTTCAACAGTTTCATTCGTTCATCCGATTTGATCAATCTTATATTGAGTATACACTCCCAGGACCATCCTCATAAAATTTCGAGAGAATCCAAACGGGAAATCTCGAGCAATGTTCATGAAATTCCCCATCATCCATACGAGTCGAGTCGCGGATATTCAGAACAGGCTCTAACGTTTCAACAATTTTATTTGTTCATTCGATTTGATTAATCTTATATTGAGTATACATTCCCAGGACCATCCTCGGACAATTAAGAGAAAATTCAAACTGGAAATCTCTAGCAATATTGCCGAAATTCCCAATCATCCATCACTCGCGAGTCGCGTAAATTCAGAACAGGCGCGGACGATTTCACATTTTCATTTCCTCATCCGATTTTATTCATCTTATATTGAGTATATACACTCCAGGACGCGACTCGCGAATTATGGATGATGCAGCAAATCGACAACATTGCTGGAGATTTCCCCCTTGGATTTTCTCGAAATTTTCCGAGGATGATTCTAGGTGTCCATACTCAATATCTAATGTGTCAAAGGGGATGAACAAATGAAATTGTAAAAACCTTAGAGCCTGCTCCGATTTTACGCGACTTGACTCGTAAGGTTGATTAATGCCCAACATTCCTCGAGATTTCCCCTTTGGATTTTCTCGAAATTTTCCGAGGATGGTCCTGGAAGTTCATACTCAAACAATAATCCATCGAATCGGATGAACTAATGAAATTGATGAAACGATAGAGCCTGACCTGCATATACGCGAATCGCGAATTATGGATGATGCAGCAAATCGACAACTTTGCTCGAGATTTCCCCCCTTGGATTTTCTCGAAATTTTCCGAGGATGGTTCTGGGTATCCATACTCAATATCTAATGTGTCAAAGGGGATGAACAAATGAAATTGTAAAAACCTTAGAGCCTGCTCCGATTTTACGCGACTTGACTCGTAAGTATAAGGTTGATTGATGCATGATGCGCAACATTCCTCGAGATTTCTCCTTTGGATTTTCTCGAAATTTTCCGTGGATGATTCTGAGTGCCATCATCTGACCTTTACGGACTTCTATTCGCCTTATCCTATCTGCTATTCCGCTCAAAAAAGCCAGTTTCTGTGTTTCATCAAAAACTGGAGTCTAAAGTTTTTTTTTTTTTTTTTTTTTTTCTGTCGTTTTATGGCTTTGTGTGAGTCTAAAGTTAATTAACGGTAAACATTGATCCTGGAAAGAATTCCGCTGATTTATGAAGGTTCCGGATCTCTCAGAACACTACCTGTTCCGAAAACATCGGACGTTGTAGCGCTCTCTGTAGGAAGAGTTAATAACTTTTAGTGTAAACAACCCCTCGAAGCCCGAAGCCGGTTGATACATTGATAATAGTGACAATCTAACGCAAGTGAGAATTAAAAGAGATTGTAAAAGAGAGTGCTGTCCGCTGCTTTTTATTGACAGGAATGTAAATCATCTCTACCAAGACATATTAAGTACTCTTGTTTCATAGTTTTTGGCTGTCAGTGCTTGTTTCATACATCATTGTGCTGGGTCTTGTCGTCTTGTTCTGTATGAATCCACACTTTGTTTGTCTATCGAACTTTCATATATTCTCAATCATCCTTGATTGTGTTCCATTCCTCTGCGTCTCAAGTACAAAATAATAATAGTATTCAACGTATTAATATCATAATTATTCAACCATGACGGACATGCAGCAGCAATTGAATGCTTCCACGAACCAAGGCTATTCTCATATCTATGTGGAGGGCGAGGAATATACCAATGAAAATTACCAACTTTGTATCAAGAATGTACCTCATTGCATACCCCCAATAGTCAATGTAAGTACTCTTTCTGTCCAACAATTCCATTCACAACAGGTTGGCAATTTTGCCTCCTCTCATCGAATGAAAATAGAAATCTCAACTGATGATTCAGTCACCTATCTAAAAACTCATTCATCGGTATTAAATGCTGACTCTAATTCCTGCCTGCACAAAGTATGCATCCATTTTTTTCAATGGAGAGACTGAGAGAGAGAGAGATAAAAGACGGAAAGCAACAAGACTTGGGGCTGGAAGAATGGACATTGGCGCCTTTCGCACGTCCAGACTCAACTTCAATCTCAATTTTAACTTCAAGTTCAATCTTAACTTTATCTTTTAAGTTACTTAAACTGTGTACTATGAGGCTGTATGTTATGTTGACTTTGTCCGAAAATTGTTTACATTTGTGACTTAATTTCTACAATAAATTATCAATCAACTTCGTGAGCTCTTGTAAAATCTTTCTTTCACTTAGGACACTTCATAGGCAAGCAGAGGTGGACAGGCATTTTAGAGCAAACTAATTTGAGTGTTTGGACAAGTGAACCAAGTTTAATATAAACACACTAAGTCGTATCAAATTATAAATTAAGCTTTGGATGTTCGGAGTTTTATTCCTTAGTGAGACTCAATGTTAAAGACAAAGTTTAACAAGTATTTTTATGTTCAAAACATTTTTGCTGGACATGGAATTTGACAGGAGAAAATCTACATGAAGTAGAATTTGAAACTACTTCCCACTTATTTTTCTTTCAATATGAGACCTAATTAATTTCTGTCAAACTGAATTGAAGTCAATATGAGTGTTATTGGAGATGAAGCTCCTAAGAAACTGTATGCCATCAAATTCTAAAACCTCAACAGGGAAAGCAAATATCAGGGTGACAAGTTCATGGGGAGTCAGGGAATTTTGCCCAATCCTAAAGTCAGGGTATTTTGCTGTGGAACCCTGAAATTTTTACCTGGAATTTACTATTTTTTATCTTTTAGATACATGGTGCTGAAATAAATGTGAACAAGTAATGTTTATGAAAAATCATGCCCGCAAGAAAAAACATGGGAAGGTCATAGGGTAACCTTTATTAACCAGGAATCATCAAAAGCATCAATTTACACTCAAATCCAGAGCCTAAGTCCCTAATGAAACTAAAAATCTTAAGTTAATTTTGTCACTAATTGATATTTCTTAGGACCTTGAACGCATCATGAGGAATCAAATGCAATTAAATCCAAGAAAATTTACAACGTTGCAAGGTCTTCAGCCCAAGAAACATGATCATTGTCTCCGTGTACATTTCTCATCAGAAGAGCAAAGGCAAAAAGCATTGAAGGCAATCAACGAATATCAATGGTCTAAAGGCTGGAGTCGAGTACATGCTGAGGTAAGATATTCTAGAATTAATGCCCACATTGAGACTCTTGAAAAAAATCTGAAGCTGAGTTCTGCGGTTATTGCGTGACTCAGCAGAATTTTCCACTAAAAAGATCAAACAAATAGAGTTTTTAACTCTACTACTCCAGGCATGCATTTTCCCATCAGTCATCAATATAAGGTCTGTTTTCCAATATCGGCTTCCACTTCCCATATTCACCATGGAAACATTCTAAAGCAGCTGCATCTACTGCTCTCTCTAAGAACTTTTCCTCCGTCATGGCTGAATGTCCTTTTTAATTTTTCCCTTCTCAGACTCACTAAGTAACTACTTTTTAATCTTTGACATTTACAGTAATAGATGCCAGTCCAAGCATTGAAGAGATTAGGTAAATAACTAGATCGAAGTAGCATCATTGGTCCATTATATTTCACCAAAGAATCTTCATTTGAACAAGTAATTGATATTCTCAATTTTTTGCTCTATTGACAGCTTATAGGTCCAAATGTAGACCCTAGGGAGAGGAATTACTACAGATTCAAGAAATCAATGATGTCTGCAGACAATGTAAGTGAATCAATAAATGTTCAACTCAGTAATGCTTTTGCGTCTCAGATGCCACTCATGTGTTCAGTATTTCAAAAATGTTTGCCATGATTGAAAAAAAAGCCACAAAAGCAAGTTTCTACCCAGTTTCTCATTCTCACACAAGTGGGTTTTCTGTCGTTTTCAGGAAGAACGCTGTATGAGCCATCAGCCACTGGCAAAGTCCCTCAGTTATAATATGACTTTTCAGGGAAATCTGTGAATATTTTTCATCCTATTTTTCCGAGACTTTTATCCACAATTTTGTGGATCTAAATTATTTGAAAATTTAATAGAAAATATTCATAACTCTAATAAACATTTTATCAGAGGAAATTTGGCAACTCTCAAATATCTCACAGTGTTTCTCCCAAGCACAGCAAAGTCCTCTTCTTGAAAATTTTTGACGTACAAACAAACGCTCTCTAAAATATTCTAAAGTCTCTCTTTTACCTTAAATAAACAGAAGGAGCATTAAAAACAGTAGTTGCCATGAGACACAGTTCTCATTCAGTATCATCCAAAGGAAGTAGCAAACACCTCAAGTACATTGTCTTCTTGTTAATTTCATTCAAAAATACTAAAAGCCATTTCTTTCAAAACTTCCAAATTTTTCTTCTCTTTGTGAAGAATTTTTCGTGAAAATTTCAAGTAACAGTTTTGGTTTGTACTCCTTTGATTAACTAAAATGGGTGTGGAGTTTTAATAAGGTCGCATACACGCTATGCATTGCAGTTTCACTGTCAATTTGTTCCTCACTGGAGGAGAAAAAGCAGTTCTCGAGGAATGGTGTTGATTTATTTCCCTTTCCAAATCGAGGTGCATTGGAAATGTGCAAATTGAGATTCTCAGTAATTATCAAGGTTTGCAACTCTAAGATACTTTAATTAGTTGGATTTTATCAGTTGACAGTTCCTCAGTATATTGACCCCACTCTTCCTCCAAATCGAGAAAAAAATGATGTTACAAGCAAAAAACCGTTGCCTGATTTTAAATCACTGGATGATGCTGTCAAGTATAGTATTAGTCCATTGTGGAATGTTCCCTACGAGAAACAAGTAAGTAATATTTTAGATGAAAATCACTCTTTTAATCAAGTACTAACAAAATGAGAAGAACCAACCTTCATCACATTCTGCAAAGCTTTTCGTCACCCATGCGACAAGTTCCTTGCCTCCCCTAATCATTCATTTACTTATTTTAGCCTTCCACCAAGTCATCTTCCCTTTATTTATTTCCTTGACTGGTCAAAATTTCTACATTTTCAGTTTTTTTTAGTGCAATAAGACTAAAATCATTTGAAGCATTTTGTGATCTGTGGGTGGAAGAAAGCAGCTAAAGTAAGAACTCAAACCGCTGTTCTCAAATCATTAACTTAGTATTGTTTTAATACATGGGCAGACCGGCACCAAAAAAGTAACCAAGAATACCAGCCCATTAGAGTGCAGATAGGTCCAGTTTAGTCGTTTTTTTTTGGTTATGTGAGGGCAGATTGGTTCAAAATCACCCTATATATAGAGTATCCAACCAAGATATTTCCTGGTATTTCTGCCCGCCTCTCTGCCCTTCTTTTCATACTTACTATGAACGTCCACTCATTTTGTATCTTAATTTATCTTGTGTTTTGATCTGTTTCTTGTAGCTAGGTTTAATGAATAATATCTCCTAATTTTCATCATATTTCTGTTCACTCAGTAAATCTGATAGTAATACTTTCCTGTAGACTTAGTTCTCTTACCCCATCTACTTCCACTAATGTTATGAAACTTTTTTACGTAGTTGAAGGGGAAAAAGGATGAAGCCGAAGAAATTCTGCGACAAATGAGCAGTCAACTCTCCGAAGCAAATCCTGATGCAGCACCCTGTATTAAAGAAAAGACAGAGAAATTTAATGGTTTGCCATGCGAATTTCTTGGTATCATCAATGATCGTAACAAAGCTGAAGGTTATCGTAGAAACGTCACACTCACGTTTGGTAAGTAGTGAAAAGGGTTTTGAACTTTTTGTATCGTAAAAAATTTGCAAAAACAAACTAAGGATAACATGGCAAGCATGAATGTTATCTGAACCAAAACTTGTCCATTAGCACATCTTGTTTTGTCCCATTTCGCATGCTGCAATATGCAGCAGGTTCCGCAGCGTCCAGCAGTCTCAGTTCACAGTCTCTTGCTCTGCAGCAAACAAGTCCAAAATGGATAGTTAAGGACCTGTTCCAACTGCCCTCTTCTTGGGATTTTCTCCATTTTCTCAAATTTTGTTTCAAATTTATCCTCTAAAGCATTAAATATCTGAAGGTAGCTCTTATAGGAAGCAAAGCTTTTCTAGCGTATTCCTAGGAATAACCAGTGCTTGTTGTTTTCCTGTTTTAGGTCAACATAACAATGAAAAAGTGTTAGGGTTCCTTGCTGAAGGAACCACCAAAGTTGCGCCAATTCCTGCAGATCTCGTGAATATACCCAAGAAAATGAAAGAAACTTTTCAGGTAGTGAAATACCTCTCTGCATTTTAGATTTTCTCCTGTTGAACACTGAATTTGATTTGATTTTTCAAATTTTAAATTATCTATCTTAGCCAAGCGTGAGAAGCCAATTCTTCTCTACAAAATGTGATGAGAAATCTGATGAGAATATTAGAATAAGATTAGTCAGAATTTTTCTAATACTCAGTTGAAGTTATCGTGCAACTGAAAATTATTCCTCTTGATGTGGAAGAACGATGCGGGAAGGAAGGGAATTTTTCCCTTGAAATTTTTGAATTTATCTTTGCATACATTCCTATCTTGGAGTATCAGGCAGTTTAAAAAATCTGGAAAATTAGGAACAGCCATGGACTCTATGACGACCTGCAAAAGTCAGGGAATTTTGCGAGTAGCCTGTTAGCTCAGCTACTTTAACCAGTACCATTCTATTGAAGAGACTGAAACAACCTCGAAGTACCTTTTCCCTTAATTTGGAGGTTTCCCTCATTGTTTAGCTTAAATCAGCATAGTCAAAAGGAAAAATCTAGGTAAAGGTTTTGATCAAATACCAGAGAATTCAGAAATTTTAGAATCAGAGCAAAAGGGAAAATAAGTCAAGAAAGAGGTATGAAATTGGAAAGTTAAGTTATTATAGATACCGTGCCTATCATACTCTCACAGGGAAAGTTCCTTAAGTTGATAAGTCAAAGGACCAAAAGGAATATTGACAGGGAAATCCTCACATAAAAATGTGTAGCATTCAATGCACAGAAATCAGACACCGTAGTTTTAAATGCACAATGTTTAAGGACTTTTCAGTCCACGTGTTTTCTTTTGCCCTTACTTTTTCATGCCTTTACAGTCAGAACTTAAACATTTTTCTTGGAGGCTTTTCTCCAGCCAAATTAACTGGAAAATTCATCCTAAGCAAGGGTTTTTACCCAGATTAAAGTAAAAACTTCTACGGACTGAAGACAGTGTTTCGGTTGAAGCGGTATTTCTTGTCAAACAGAGTTTCAACTTGCCAAGCTTCAATAATTTAAGATGTGTTTGTGTGTATAAAAGGGCGTCTTTATTATTACCATTTTACTTTTATTAATTTTATTATTGCAGATTTTTGAAAATTATGTCAAGCGCTCCGAATTTGACGTTTATGACCCTGAAACTAACACTGGTCATTGGGAAGCATTTACACTCCAATACTCTGATACCTTAGATGAGTCTTTAGCCATAGCGAAGATCAACAACTTGTCCAAAAAGGATAGGAAAACCAAAATCAAACCAGAGTTGCTAGCCTACTTCAGCCGACCAGAAATCAAAGGTCACGCGCCTACCTCTTTGTTCCTGCAAATAGAAGAAAGCTGGTTGGTTATTTTTTGTTCTTCTTCTTGGAATTAATTTCAAGCTCCATGGTAATATGTCCGAAATTTACGTGATAAACTTCTCAGTTTTGAAATCAGATTCGTATATTTTAACGTTATGCTTATCAATTGAGGCACTGAATACAAAAAGGGCACTCATCGATCGCAGTGTTTTAGAATCTCTGTTGCTAATTAATCCCTTGGAGAATAAATTAATGAGTGATTTTGCCAGAATCCTTTCCATAGAAAGTTGTAGAGTCATAAGGAATATTCAGTGGAATTTTTAGTGAAATGAATGCATTCACTTTCCTTACAATTAATGAAGTATTAAAGGAGACTCTGAAACACTGCAACCGAGAAGTGCCCTTTTTGCATCCAGTGCCTCAATTTTACTGCCTACTTATCAGTAGTTGAGTGGTTTTTGGAGCTGAGTGAACTCTTCAAGCCACCCAATCCACACAATTTTTTTTCTTTTTTTTTGGGGGGGGGGGGAGGATATCTCGTTGTACTGTGTACTACAGTCCATACTTGAAACTTTGTGTAAAGCTAGAAATTAAATCATTAAAAACACAGCAGAAACAGTAATAATGAACCCGTTTTAAATGTCAGATTCATTTAAAATGTGATTAATGATTTAATTGCTTTAACATATTAGTGCCTAGATTCAGAATGGGTCATTTTAAACTATTTTTTCTATTTCTCTTGTATTCTCATTTCTGGCATTTAAGTTTTTTTAGAATAGCCGATTCAGTTGGGTATTTGGTTTAGTCAAGGTTGAACTAGAGAAAAACCTCACATATCTTCTCTTCAAAATTTTATTTATGAAATGATTCTTACAATGGGAAGTTCGGGAATCAACCCAAAAATATTGTAGAACAATGTAGAAGTTACATTGTAAAAATGACATAATTTGTATTTAATGCCTTTTAATCAGTGTTAATCATAATCATTTACATCTCGTTCAGGATGTGATCTCCAGACTGCCCATTGTCTGATTCGTTTTCCTTGTGAAATTTTGAAAATAGAAGAGGTTACGAAGTGTTTTAATTCATACCCTGCCTGGAAGCCTACTAAATTAAGAATGAATTAATTGTTGATTACAGGAAGGTGAAACCGTTTTTTTTCCAAATTATCGAGTCAGGAAAAATCAAAAATAAAACATTTAACAATTTGGAGCTGCAAATTACAAAAAGAGCTTTCTTTCGTGAAAATGCTGAGTTGGTGTACCAAGCTGTGCGCGATGTAAGCGAGTTGAACAAATCCATTAACCTGTTGGAGCTCGGTTGTGGAATTGGAACAATTGGCTTGGCATTGTCCAAGGTAAGTTCAATCTCCTGTAGATTTTTCTTGTTTATAACCTCACTAATAGCCCTCTGAATACTCGGAAGTTTCAATCAATGCTGTGTCTTCAGCAACCGTTTTCCTGCCTATTCTAGATTTGTAAAAATTTTTCACGGATTATGCAGGCTCATGCAAAAAATTATGACGGTCAACAGAAAAATGGACCTCATTTTGCAGTGTATAGACAAATGTATTGGCTTTTGGGGAGAAACTTGGCCCTCTCCATAGCCAATAAAGTCCTTCTCTATAAACAAGTCCTCAGACCCGTTTGGACGTATGCCTGTGAACTGTGGGGCTGCACTAAACCAAGCAATAGATATCTGATCGAGTTCTTCCAGGCGAAGGTGCTAAGGTCAATGGTGGATGCCCCATGGTTCACAACTAACCAATCAATGAGAGAAGAGTTAGACGTTGAATCCGTCTCTGATTACATAAAAAATGCCTCTCATAGATATTTTAGCAAGCTTGAAATTCATGAAAATCCCTTAGCCAAGGAACTTACAACCAAGGACATGGTGAGAAGGCTCAAGAGGGTCAAACCTCGAGATTTAGCCTTCGGTGTCTAATTTAAAACTTTTGTGTCTAGTTTACTTTGTTATAAAAAATAGGTCCTTAACAACCTAAATGCCAGAATTCTTTTGCGGACATGGATTCCGCATGAAAGCAAAAGTAATTCAAACTTTCAACATTGTGCAGGGGGCAAGTAGTTTTTTTTTAATTATCTCTCTCATTTATTTTTCATTGTTTATTGTAATTTTTTTTTCTAATCCACTACTCTAGTTTTAAGATGTATGAATGTGGTCTGGGTGCTGTGCGAGAATAGGTTATACATGCAAAAGTTAAGAAGGAAAATTAAAAATAGTTAATTTGGTTGTTATTATATTTATAAAACAAAGTTTCTTTACACTTGTAAACAGGTGGTTGTAACATAATTTGATGAATAAAAAAAAAAAAAAAAAAAAAAAAAAAAAATTGCAGTTAAATTTTCATAACTCTCCTCGAAAATAATCATTCCATCAGTGAAAATTTGGTACCTTCATTGTTCATACTGCGTTTTTCCTTAGCACGGCAGGATTGTTAAAGGTCGTACAGTTTCTAGGATTCTATTGGAAATAATTTAATCATCGTTTCCCGCAGGAGGTGAACTATGTGTATGGCGTGGACAATTGCCAGATTTCGTTGAGCGATGCATCTAAAAACCAACAGCTGAACAACTCGCAGAACAGCCAGTATTTTTGGGGACCAGAGCAGCCAAAATTCTCATTTCTTCCCAAAGACTCTCCCAATGATCTGGTCGTGATCATCGACACACATCGTTTCGAATTAAGTAGGTTAAACCACCACCACATAAGTTAAAAGAAACTGCATGATAAAATCATTGCATGGTTTATAAATTGATGGCCAAAGTATGGAGCGACTTATCTCCGTTTGCAAAGTGGCAGACTTCCTGCCATAGTTTATTTTTTCTTTGGAAAATTTTCTTTCAATATTTCTGCTTAAATTTCAAACCATGGAGTCGTTTACTGTCACTTCTATAAAATAAGATAGGAGTGGAAATTTTGTAACATTGCAAATGGAGGCACATGGTTTTGCAGTTTGGCCATCAAAATAAGGATTCTGTGAGAGAAGGAGGAAAGTACATTTTTGTGATTTCAAGACTGCCAAGCTGAAAAGCTAGCAATGGCTGCCTTAGACGAGGTCTGAACCAGAAAAAATCATGATATGTTTCCTTTATTTAATCTTATGTCAATAATGGCCCTTGCAATAGAAAGTTCGGAAATGAACTCCTGAATGAAATATTAACATGTATTTTTAACACAGATCAAATCTAGTAACAGCCAATGTTGTTTGGTTCTCCTCTGAGAAACACAGCCCCAATTTCAATCTAGTCAAGCGACATCAGCAGGAAAAAACGTAGGATGATGATAAGAACTATGATGGGTTCTACCCATTGAAGGGATACTGCTTGTCTCCAATGTTGTCAATTTTAGTGTCTACATTTGGTCATTTAGAGGCTATTACACATGCGCTGTATCCTATACTGCTCACCAAGACCTAAAAAAAGTTTCTGGCTGTAGAGAATTTTTGTTTACAGATGTTTCACTGTATGTGTTTCTGTAGCTTTAATATTGGGACATACTACTGCAAAATGAATACAAAATGTTTCTCTGCTTTATTTCCTTCATGTTATACTTAGGATATTCCATGGTTGGAGGAGTTAAATGGGAAAATCAGATAAACTGGCAGTCTTTGTAGAGGGCCACAATTTTTGGTATGGCAAAAAGAATGGAGATTATACCTTCAAGAACTCAACGTCAAGATTTTAAGTTTTAATTGGCATTATAAACAATACATTATGACCGGTTTCGAGTTAATTATTTCCAAAACTTACAATTGTATAAACAAACTTTCACTGGGTTTTTCTCAAGTTCCCAATTTACAATTTACAATTTCAATTTACCATCTTCCCCAATTTACTGCTCTCTTATGTTGAAATCATCTAAAGGGTAAATTTTTAGAATTTGCTGATGTTCTTTACACTTTATGGTGAATTGTTAATCCCTCTAAGTTGCAGTATGATTATGTCACTTTTAGTTTTTTCTCTGCAGGTCTGACTGTGCAAAACTTCTCAATAACTCTCATTTTATGAGGGTTTATTTTTTACAAGCATCTTTCATCACTTAAATTTCATTTTTCCTTGTGCAGCACCAGAACAAGTTGATTCCTTGAGGCAGCTGAAAAATTTAAAGAAAGTGGTATTCCTAAGTTGTAATGCAACTGCTCTGTCGCTGATGCAGACGTTCCCGAATTTCTTCTGCCCACCATCAGAAGCTCAACCAACCAGTCCTTTCATTCCTTGCAAAGCTGTTGCAGTGGACACACTTCCGCATACTTTAAAATTTGACCTTGTTATTTGTTTTGAACGGGTAAGTAACTCGGTCACCTTTAAATGAAGTAAAGTTTATTTTTAAATCCAGCCTTTGAATATATAAAGTAGCCAATCAGAGAATTTCGCAACTGTTAAAATGTCAACATTTGTGAAACAAATATTTATCCTCTACGGTGGCCTCGATATTGGGAGGGGATTCTCTAAAATTTTTTATTAGTTTGAATGATAATCTGCTATTTAAGAGAAAGCAATTGAAAGGGCATGAAGTAAGGGCAATTTTGAGTACTTAACTCTCTAGTTTTCCCTACTAAATTGTTTCACGATAGCTGAATTAGCGTAAGTAGTGCTTTGGTTGACAGCCAATATTTTTGCCAAAATCTTCATATCTATTATTGGTTCCAAGAAAAGTCTCATTTGGTGTAAGATTTCCATAATTGATGAATTTTTGTGTCACAGTATAAATGTTCGTGTAGCATCTGTATTATACTGATTTTAATGGAAATTTAAGGTGAACCTGTAGGAAACATGTACCATTATTGATATAAGTACTTGAGATCACCAATGGGCCTGTGATAAAGTGCATAATCTTAACATATGAAAGGTAAAAATCTCTTAAAGCCATCAAGTGTTGCTTTCATTTTGCAACTACCAACATTAGTAGGGCAAGGTTGACTGATGAAGCACCCAGTAGGAGCCCTCATTTTCATGTTGAATGTTTGTTCAGTTCCATTGAAAGAATTGAGTATCTACTCCAAGTCAACTTTGGAGCTTGTACCTATACGATATCACTATGCTGTTGCATATTGCACATTTTTTTAAAATTTTATCGGCACTACACAAATTATTTGATTAACTTCAAACTTTTTTTTTGAAAACCGATTATATAGCACTTACTTTCTTATTGTTCTCTACGCACAATGGCCATTTCGAGCGGGCAGGCCGCCCATCTTCAGGTGACTGCATTGGTATGGAAAGGTTCAAAAATGCCAAATTAGTTTCATTGGACGTAGAGAATTTATTCAATAATGTCGACAACAGGGAAGCCATAAAGAGAGCGGAGAAAGTAATGAAAACCCATTCAACAATGTCCAATAAAGAAATTGAGGAATAATCAAACTCCTAGAATTTGCTACTAGCCACAACTATTTTAAATATAACGATCAATTCTACCAATTTTTAAATGGGTTAGCGATAGTAGCCTCGACATCTCCCCTTCTAGCAGATGTTTTCATGGACGACATAGAGAACATTATCTGCAGTCTTAAGAAATGGAAAAACAAATTTCAGGCATACTATAGGTACATCGATGACTGCTTTCTGATATGGATGGGTTCGTGGAGAGAATTTGACAATTTCTTAAAAGACATAATCGAAATTCAGCCAAGAATTACATTCAAAGCCGAAAAGGGAGGGGACAGACTTAACCACCTAGATTTGACCATAAAAATAAAAAATGGCAGACTGAAGTTCGAAATTTTCAGGAAAGATTGTTATACCGACTCAATAATTCCCGTAAACTTGTACCATAGCTGGCAGCATAAAATGTCTGCATTTCATAGCATGTGCTATAGACTGGTAAATATACCTTTAGACAAAACAGCGTATAATAAGGAGCTAAATTCTATAATAAACATAGCTGAAAACAATGGATACAAAAAGAAGGACATCCTAAAATTAGTCAGAAGGAAAGCTAAAATAAAAAGAGAAAAACTCCTATTTGGCGGAAAAACGGCAAACGACTAAGCTTGGGTTTCAATCCCTTTCATTAATAATCTGTCAGATAAAATAAAAAGGTCCACCAAGAACAAAGTGAAGATAACATACAGCAATCAAAGAAATCTGGGTAACCTACCCATCAACACAGGTGAAAAAATAGACCCACTTAAAAAAGTGGAGTGTACAAGATTATTTGTGAATGTGGAAAAATTTACATAGGTCAAACTGGACGCACAGTACAAAAAATATTTCAAGAACATAAAAATAATGCAAACAATAATAGGAAAAATCATTCCTCAATATCAGACCACGTGAGAGACTTTAATTGCAACTCAGATAAGTGCAAAGTAAACCTAATTAGAGAGTGTAATAAAGGCAAAAAATTAAATGTACTTGAACAATTAGAAATAGACCGTCATAAAAATAAAGAGCTCCTTAACACTCAATTAGAGAGCTATGTGACGACATTGACAACAACGCCAATCTTACTCAGTTCATACAAGGAGAATGTAGTGAAAACATCTGATAAGAAATTCGCTGATCGAGAGGACGAGAGCCGCGATAATAACTGCGCCAGCGCGGCTATCACGCCGGATTTTTGAACCTTTCCATACCAATGCAGTCACCTGAAGATGGGCGGCCTGCCCGCTCGAAATGGCCATAGTGCGTAGAGAACAATAAGAAAGTGAGTGCTGTATAATCGGTTTTCAAAAAAAAAAAGTTTTATGTTAATCAAATAATATTACGATATCATCTTCTGTTGACAATAATTTCAATAGATCAGCTGTTCTCTAAGCTAAGCTTTGCCCTTTTTACTTCTCAAACGTGTACTCAGCCAGTTTTTCTGTCCACATCTAGTGAGCATTTATTTTTCCTTCTCTGGAACATCTGCCTAGAAAATTATCCTGATGTTTGTATTACCTAACCCTGCTACATTTCATGCTCTTTAACTTTTTGTTGATAGGTACTTAAAATTTTTATTTCAATTTTTCTGATTTTCACTAATTTTTGCACTTTTAGATGCGGGAGGCTGCTGCAAGTGCTGGTGTGAAGCGAGGACCTTCCATCCCTGAGGTTACTGAGCCAAAACGCCCAAAAGCATATTACTAGCAAGTATAGAAGGGCTGAATAAGTAAAAGTTTTGGTTTGAAGGCAATCTAGTCACTTTCGCGTACCAAACGAAGGATAGACGAAATTCTTGGTAACTTTTGTCTCGTCACTCATCTTGAATGAGCACTCACTTACAGTTGTGTGAGTTTTATTGCAAGGTTTGTTTATCTCAAGCTGTTGTTGGATATCTATTTGTTTCCATTAAGTCTCAGTCCACCAAAAACCACCTTTGTAACATAGTTTTGTCAAGGTAGCATTTTCCACTCATTCCAATTCTGGCCAAGGAAATTGTTTTTTCATTTGTTCTTTTGTTACTACAGCCATCAAGCCAGTTTTTTAAAAAAAAATGTTTTTTCTCCGTTTTGAATAGTAGTCATTTGTTTTCATCATTGCTCAAGAAATCATTTTTTTGACTACTTCGTTTCTTTATCATGTCTGGAGTATGTTCCTTAAAACAAATATTTTTTCTAATGTCTCATTCAACTGCGTCAATCCTATTCGGTCGCACTCTTATTTTTTGTTCATTTTTAAGTGTTTCATGATGTGCTGTTCCTACTTCTTGAAACGTGCATACCTACTATTACTCATCTTTTTACTGTAGTTTCTACCTGAAATAACATTATTTCATTTGCTCTGTAACATATTATGTTTCAAGATAGTAAATCACTATAAATAAATGTTTTTCAATTCGTATTTGCACTGAACTCTTTTAATTTACTTTGATATTTTTTACCTCGTTCTTTTTCATTTGTTTTAAATGAATGGATCAAATACTACAAATTATTTGTAATTTTTAAACAGCCTTAATTAATTCTAAAACCACTTTTTATATGCTGTGTAGCAGATAGAAAAATTTGAACTGAGAATTAGAAAACTTATAATTTTAAAGAGAAAACATCAAAAAACTTTTCAATTTTATGAATTAGCCCTATTCTGTTCTTTTTTCATGAGAATGTCCCCTAACACTTTTAAAACTTTCTATCACTAACATAAATTCTTCATTAAGAATTTATTTCTTTACACAAAAAACGACCTAGTAGCCTAGCACATATAGCAACGGCTGTTGAAAAAACTTTGAAAAAACTCTTAAATTTCGAAAAGACACATTTTATTAAAAACTATTAAAATTCTCTTCTTAAGAAACCCTTTTTGGCAATTTTTTAAAGTAAAATTTCCAAGCAGGAAAATTTAAGGAAAAAAGTTAAAAAACTCTTTAAATATTAACTTAGTTTTCGATGTCAAAAATATTTGAAAAACTACCTACTGTGGTATTTTAAGAGTTTTTTTAAACAATTTTTTTCATAAATTCCACCTTATTAACCATTATAACTAGTCAGCTAACATTTGTTTATGGGTTGGGGAGGTAAAAGCGCCTATAAAAGTAGGAGACCCCTGCAGTGCATGTATGTATGGCTGATTGTTAGCCTACTTTTCCGGAACATTCAGAAGACGAGCTTTTACTCCGCAATTATGCTATTTTCCGTCAGTTTTTGGTAAAACTAACGGCTTACCTTCCTTTTTCAAAATATTGCAAGCTTTTACGTTGTGCAGTCAGAATCCAAAAATTTTCACAGGCTCAAAAGTTACAGCCATTTCGTCTTCCCACGAGATTTTTATTTTTTTCCTACTTAAAGTAGCCCACAAGGGCTAATCCTGCACTTTTAATCCTACCCCTCCGTCCCTAACAACCAGTCCCTGAGGCAACCATTGTCTGAGACTATCAAACTCTGGTCGGGAAATTGCAGGCATTTGAAACCCAAAAATGAAAAGAACGTTATAATTTACTTACCTTTTATTTTCAATTTTCGGATTCAATTTTCATTAACATTTTACACTCTGGAGTAGAACTATGGGAAAATTTTGGGGGAAAATTCTCAACTTTGATGGGCTGGAGTGTCGAAAAAAGCGTTTTCAGGAAAAAATTTACAAAATGAAAGTGTCTTATTTTGACCCAAAAAGTGATCCATGAAGTTGGGTTCATTAAGCCTGGGACACCCCGTATTTCCATCTCAATTAAGTTTTCCTCTTACCTATGTATAGGGTCGGATTAAGGGGGTGGCCACATGCATGGGCCGCGGCCTATGGCGGCAAATCTAAAGGGCGGCAAAAATTTGCAATTTTTTAAGTGTAGGTATAAAAAAAATCGGATTTAGAAAAAAAAATTACAAACGAGAAAAGGCGACAAAATCTCTAATTTTCTGAGAGTATAGTAATTTCTAATTTTGTCGTCTCTGAGTGATACAAGAGACAGCACCTTAAATTAGTCGAGTTAAGAGAGAAACCAAACACTCAATTTGGCCTGGAACGGCGACTTGGAGAGAAATGATGACGAAGGACTTGAGATGAAAAGGAAAAGCCCTCTCGGCGCGGCGATCGGCATGTAACACATATTGGCGCCCACAAGACTGCACGAATACTTCACGCATTGCATTAAACACAGTGTGGTCATTGCGGTCAGCGTGAAACGGATAGCGCCTACAAGAATGCATGAATACTTCACGCATTGCGTCCAACACAGTGCGTTCAGCAGCGGTCGGTGTGAAACGCATAGCGCCTGCAAGACTGTCGGAATACTTCACGCATCGCGCCAAACACGGTGCTGTCCGCGCGGCGCGGCGGCGGAAGTTAAAATCATTAAACCACATACCTATATGTTTGTTCTTTCATAATTTTTTCGTTCATTTCTTATGAATGGAAGGCCTTGTCCACACTAGAGATAGGTACGGAACTTAACTGTCGCGCAAAGTTCCGTGAACTTTTGCTAGTAGTGTTGATAGGGCTTTCCCAAAAAATGTGTTCAACACTAGTAAATGCGTCTTATGCACCCCTTCCCCGCTGGCACGTTCACTTGATGGTTTTCATTGAGTTTCAAAACGAATGAGAAGGGGACGGCAAAATACAGGCGGCAAGTAGGTGAATCCGGCCCTGCCTATGTATAATCAACAGTCTTGTAATTATGAAGATTTAATATCGTGTAGGTATTTACATGAAGGCTTTGGACCTATACATTATCAATACTTCATCTTGTATACATATCGTGAGAAATATTAAAAATACTAGGACTGGGAATGTGAGCGCTGTTTGGACCACACCAGTAATTCTCCTGTTTTAAGACTTTCATTAATGAAAGTCTGCTTCGTCTTACTGACAATTGTCAGTAAGACGAAGCCCGTAGCGTTAAAGGGGAAAAGAGGAGAGGGAGATGAAGCTTGGGTCGAAACTTGTGGTTGTTGGAGTTGCAATATTAGGCTACGTTTCGTTCTGAAGATACACATTTTCATCCAGCCCAGTGGAGATTCTTGCCATTTGACAACGTTGCAGTAACACTTTTCAAGTTTAGCTTACGTATGTAATGTAGAACTTGAGAATTTGTCTTGAGCAAGATTTTGTTGTCTGGAATGAGAACCCCGTAGAAATTATAGCGGAGTCCTGTGCTTCAATTGGTTCATTTTTCGAACGAGGAGCATTCAGAAAGTCATGAGCGTCTGGTGTTCGTCCAATCCAGATCCGCTCTGTCGGGGTGACGCTAAGATCTCCACTGTGATTGGTTGTGCGTGGCGTAGCAGAATTTTGTCTGGCGTGTGACGCTTGTAGCCTACTCCCCATCGCCATTTTCCAATTCGTGCGGCAGAAGAGCTTCCCCAGATATTTCAGTCCTCTATTTTTGTTAAATTTCCACTGTTTATTATTGTTTTTTGTATACTGAAGTTTTCCACGCAACGTGTCTATTACTATATTAAGTGGATCATAGCCAACTGCGGAAGGTATGTGTTGTTTTTAGCAAACTATCTTGATGCATTTCTACCGGTCCATCCTCCCAACTTCAGCGATCATGTTCCTATTGTTTAGAACTCTTTTCTACAATTTTTAATTCTTTTCATGTCTCAAAGATGCTTTTGTAGTGCACTGATCGCCCTATCTAGCTTTCTCCCCCATGAAAGTAGATTTTCTCAAACTATTTTCTCCCAAATCCGTGGGTACCCCCTACCTAGGGGTATGTAAGCCTATTTCAGTCAAGACCCAGTTAATTGAGTATTTAGCCTTGTTTTCTGTCAGTATTGAGTTCTGCTTGACACGAAGGTTCTAGATTTCTTATGTTTGATTACTGCACCGCCCCCAATGATTTTGCGCGTTCTCCTTCAGATTCAGGCAGCCCCTACTGGCGACGCCACTATGATAGCCAACATTCTACTTCTGCCAGGGCTATGTTTTCTACTCTACATTCTGCGAATTCTCAGTATGTTTACTCTAAGTGAATGCATGTCAGTACCGTCGTAGAATTCATCTTAACATCGTTAAATCTGGTGGGTTGAAGTTGACATGCTGAAGAATTGTATGTTGATAGGTCAGCAGTCGAGTCGCCGCTTCTGAGACCGACATTAAATTGCTCCTGCTGATGGCAGTGCTACCTCGCATATATGATCCTTATAGAGCGTTGTCAGCTTAGATGGCACGTGTTTACATTCTCATTACAAGCGACCACTATGCTGCTGTCCAGTAGCGATTGCAGTGTGTTGATTATGCCACCAATCTGGCCACGGTTAATCTGCGGTCACTACTAGAAGGTTGCGTGAAAATTGCTTGCTAGTGGGTGAGCAAGTTAATGCCAGCTAAGCTGATGATGCCTGTAAAAGGTAGCTGCTCTAGTAGCTGTTCACTTGTTTCAATGTGGATTACGTGGGCGCTCAGGGTGGTTAGATTTTCTCCTTGGCCTGCGGGTTGACTAAATGTTTTGATGATGCCTTTTACATTGCACGAACCAATTGCACAGATCAGTCATTCTGGAAGACGAGTTTTGGAACTTAACGTTCAGAGACATCGAATTATTGGTCCACAATGTATCTCTCATGACAGCAGCCCATGTGATGTCACACCGGCTACTGTATAGGTAAGGCTGTGTGGGGCCTACGATTTCTAATCGGTCTTGGGTGGTTGTTTCACATTAACTGGAATAGGTTTGTCGCTGTTACAGACAGCACATTTGTAGGTCATTGTTCTAGTTGAAATGATAATCACTTGGATTTTTTCACATTTATCTTCTCATGGTTACGTATAGCAACGCTTTCTGATGATCTATTGCTTTACTTAAGCATCATTATGTGAACTCCGAAAATGTGCTGTCTCTTATGTAGTTCAAAGTCAGCATAACAGACAGTACATTTTCGGGCATTCATTCATTAAAATTGATAAGCAGAGCGATAAATATTTGAAAAGCGTTGAAACGCACAACCCTGTGCTGATCAATGCAGAAAAATTCGAGTGATTATCTGTAAGTACTACTGAAAATATGACGGAAAAATGTGTTGTCTGTTACGGCGTCGAAACTATTCCAGTAATCGTGCTACTACCGATATGCCGTGACTGACATGTGTGGATTGGTCTTCATTGAATCTGAAGAATGTGGTTAGGTGCTTGTAATCATTAGATACTTCTGGTAACTATTGATGCGTTTGCGGTAGGCACTGGGCTTGAGGCGACTTGAGTTCCCTGACGGTTTAGTTCAGTTGACATGTTCTACTGTGATCTAAAGGTGAACAGATACTCTTCTCAGCCTGCACTTAGGAATGCGAGTGCAAGACCCAAGTAAACAAAATACGCGGGGTGAACAAGGATGGGAGGGCCCATTCTCAGAAATTTTTATACTTATGATTTTTTAATTCTGGTGTTGCCTCTGCAGGTGTTAATTTGGTCTTTTTTATGTTTCAGATGGGAACGCAACAATTTTCACTCAGGTGGAATAACTACCTGAGGCACATCACGGGTGCCTTTGACTCACTACGAACTGATAGTGATCTAGTTGATGTTACTCTAAGCTGCGAAGGAAAAAAAATTAAAGCACACAAAATGTTACTCTCTGCCTGCAGTTCATATTTCAAAGATTTGTTCAAAGTAAGTCCCTCTTTTATTATCATCATATCTGTTCTACTTAGCTCATTGTTGGGTGAAGTTTGCCCTCTTACAACTGAGTATCAGATGCTGAGTTGTTTATGCCCTATCTTCCAATCCCCATTCAATTTGTAGGGTTCAATATTATCCTACCAAACTGGGAAAAGTAAAGGATTGATGATAGATGCATCAACCCTGAATGCATCAACTATCAGCGCCCACTGGCTAGCCCATAATTTTCTGTTGAATGTTGCCACTATTTGATGGGTCATGTGTCGAGGTTCATTATCTGCTGCATCTGTGTTGATGGGATTGCTACAGTAATGGAGAACCTGAAGATGACGATAGTATCATTAATCATCGACAAGTCACTTCTATTTGCTTTCTAGATCGGAAATAATGTCTCTAACAACAGATTTTGCTTGAAAACTATTTTCAAATATGTCAATATCATCCACAGTAACTCAAATTTTCAGAGAATGTCAGCATCACTTGTCAAGGTTATCAGGGTAATGTCGCGGAATTTAAATTCTTAATTCTGTGACAACTCCGAGCTGCTGTATCAATGTTGAATTTCATCTGTTGCTCTCATAGACAATGCTATGGTGGATGAGTCATCTGCATGAAATCTATCAGCTTCTTACACACTGTGACTAGACGGACTCCGAAATTTTTGGAACTTGGTTCCAATGTCCATTCAGATTTCTCAAGACATTCATTTCAATTTCCTTAAAAATTTTAGTGCTGCAGCCTTGCCATTTGACTCACTGAAAGGAAATAATGCCTTTGGCAGTGAATTAAATGTATGGACTTTAAATACGTTCATGTGATAGTAGTAGTTCAACTGGTCGAAATTTTATGTGAGATGCTGCTGCATTGTTTTTCATGTGATATGAGGACATGACCCGTCACTTGTCACTTCTTTGGGCTGCTGCTCAGTCCATTCACAAGAAGCTGTATACAAGCTAATCTGATACACAAAGTGGAGCAGTATTAATGGAGATGTTGCATGTGTGAGGAATTTACGATTCGACCGTTGATTCTTACCTAAAAGTTTTGCGAGAAACTTGATGGTGCCACTGGTTTTCTCTGAAATCAATTCCCAAGCTCCAAAAAAGCTCCCAAGTTGAGGCCAACATGGAGGGGATATCCCACGCTATGCTGAGAGTCCACCTCTACATCAAGACAAACTCTTCATGCAAAGATAGGTAGCAAATACATTGACAGGGCTGCCACTTTATTTGGGGACTCTAAATTTGAGAAAACAGCAATCCTGCTAATGTATTTGCTCCCTATTTTTGCATGGAGAGTTGTCCTGATGTAGAGGTGGACTCTCAGCATAGCATGGGATATCCCCTCCATTTTGGCCTCAACTTGAGAGCTTTTTTTGAGCCTGGCAGTTAATTTCAAAGAAAACCAGTGGCGCCATTGTGTTTCTCGCGAACTTTTACATTAAAATCAGTAGTCTAATCGCAAATTCCTCACACGTGCAACATCTCCACTCTGAATAGCATGACGCTAAATTTGTGAACATTCATTGACAATTCATCTAAGAGCTTCCACATCACACATCGTTAATGACTTCATGTGAGAAAGCCGTTTTAACACAGGAGGTATTGTCAGTGAAGTCTGCGCTTGTTTTCACTCACAATCAGTCAGCAAGCAACTGGGATGTAGTTTTTCAACAGCGGTCAAGGATTGAAGACTCCCTAACCGAGCTGCTGCCAAACCTCGATTGCTAACGGACAACTGTATTGCAACTGCATTCGATAATAATTGTTACTCCAAGACACTGACTGTTAGGAACAAAATTTAGTTGCAGAACTTGTTCCTAGTTAATTCAGAATCACCGTAAATCTCAAACCCCCCTAGTATTCCAAAGCTTAAGGTGATTCATCAAGCCCTCTGACATGGCCAAATTGGCACCTGGGGTATGGCATCGATTTGGCCTTCAATCTTGGCAGATTTTGAATTATAGCCATTGAAAGGGCGATAGCTGCTGCGCATGAGCTGGAAGAATAATTTTAAATAAAAACATCGGCAACCATAGTGAAATGAAAGCAGATTCTTGTTTTGGAAATCCCTTGTGTTCTATACAGAGATCCATGATCGTATTGAATGTGACAGTTTTTTCCTTACATGATTCTGCTTTTATTTCTCTAAGTTTGCTAATTTTATTTTATTTAAATGATTCTTTAGTTTCGAGTGCAGCGGCTATCATCATATTTTTGGACTTAAAATTCCAAATCTGCTAAGATTTTTGGTCTAACGATGTGATATACTGAATGCCTCTTCAACCACGTCAGAGAACTTATCGAATCACCCTAATCGATCATAAAGCACTTGATGAGTGATTCTCTAACCAAACCAAATTTTTTGCTCAACATTCTAAATGATTGGTTTTTTGTTTCAGGATAACCCATGTCAGCATCCTGTGATCATATTTAGGAATGTCAAATTTGATGACTTAGATGCCCTAGTCAACTTCATGTATCAGGGTGAAGTTAATGTGCTGCAAGACCAACTTGCATCATTCCTCACCACAGCCGAGTTATTAGAAGTTCAAGGTCTAACCGATGGCGGTAACAACCCTGAAGAAGAAGAAGAACCAGAGGTAAGGATCTCTCAAATCTGAACTTCCATTGTGCCCTCTTGCGTTAGCTTTTAAGGGAAGCGATTTTATTGAGACGCCTTGGATACTTGGAAATCCAATCGATGAAGCAAGTGACAGGTCGCTGAAATAATATCAAGCTTTCTGCAGTGTTGCCACAGTCAAGGAAAATAGGAATATGTAAAGTGTGAGGGGAAAATAATAGAGACAGTTTCCAATTTGGTCTTTTTAATTTTCTGGCTCATCTGCTATTGCCAGGGAAATTCATCTCCTTTCTGTGGCAACACTGTTTCTTTGGAGCTCCTCTTTGAAACGAAATTTTGATTTTAAACCGGTTGAAAGCTTGCAAGGAGAGAGCGTTATTAGCATTGACGTATAATACAATCTTAGACCGCGCATTAAGAAATTTCGGCGAGACAACAGGCAACCCGGATTGCAATCTGCGCTGAGGCAATGGAAATTCCAGTCTTGCCTTTGCCTGGCACGCTTCGTATATGCGGCTGTATCAACTAAGCTGTAGGCGCGGCTTTGTCCAGATTTACCCCCCTAGCTGTCGTACCTCCCNCCCCCCCCCTTTAAATAGAGCCTAGCGTGCTGTCTAGATTGTGTTAAAACTTCATGGTTATTATAGTTTCCAAGGTTCGGGAAATTTCATAGAAATTATCTCTCTAACTTCCAACGCTTCACATCTTTCTCTTAATGCATGGTGTCTTGGACTGGGAAACTGCATTCATCATTTAATGGGAAATTTCAGGGAATCAGTTTCAGAAACAGGGAATCTCCGCTACAGTACTTAGTTATTGTTGACAAATAAATGGGCCTGTTGCTAAGTTTTGCTAGAGCAAAACCAAGAGTCGTTTCTCATAGATAATGCCTCAATAATCATGATGAGCGCTTCGGCCAAGTCTGAAATGCACTCATAACTTCACAATCTGCATAAGATATGTGCGGTTTTTTGAGCCTCCTGCTTCTAAAACGATACTAAGACATGGGTGAACATTTTGTTGGAGGATTCGTTTCATCGTCAGTTGTATTCATCATGGCCGACGCCAATTCGTCAAAACACAGGTGATGGGACGAGATAACACCTGAACACGATTAGACCTGATAACTATCGGAGTGTTTACGTTCATATTCTCCTCGCCTGTCTTGATTGACCTTAAACTCTCTTCAAATTATGCGCCGAACTGCGGAAGCGTCGGCCATAATGAATATTGCCAACGATGGAGCGACTCCTCCAACAGAATGTTCTTCCGTGCTGTAGTACCATTTTTGAAGTGGGAAACTCCAAGAAACGCAAATTTCCTATGCAGATTGTGAAGTTATGAGTGCAATTCAGACTTTTCCAATTCCCCCATCGTGATTTTTGAGGCATCTATAGGAAACAACTCCTATTTTTGCCCTGGCAAAAGTTTGCGACAGGCCCATCGTGTCAAAAAAATGTCAAGTACCCTGTGCTATTAAGGCTTATACCTTAGCCTTAATTGGACCGCGTTCAGCAGGGAGGAACCAAGCCACTTCAGCTATCGCTCAAGTTTTACACTAACATTTTTACAAGAAAATGGGAGTGGGGTTTTTGTGCAAACTTTAGTTAAATTTCTGCACAATACCAAGCAAATTCCGTAAAATTTCCATAGGAAGCTGCACAAACGTCTACGCGTAAATAAATTAAATTAACCTGTCAAATTTGTCTATAATTGTCATGGCTTGGTTCCTTTTTGCTTATCGCAGTCAAATGGTTGTTCTAATGAATATCAGAGATGATTCTTCTTATCAGCAGAATGAAAGCTTATTTTGGTGATAAGTTACCTCTTAAATCGGAATCATTTAATGAAAAATATGATTAAGTGCCCAAGAATTGGCTGAAAGACAATGTAAAATCGATATTCACAGCTGAAATTCCTAAGGGTTGTGTCGTTTGACCCAAGAATATCCTGAGCAAGCGGGAGAAAACTTGGATTTCTTATTGGGGAATGGACTCCTACAAATTGGGAATGAGCATGACCTAGAATTCTAGACACCATGGTGTAAGGATAGTTGTAGGCCTGTGAAATATCTACATTATTTCATGGAAATTTCCAATTTTCCACATCTTCATCCTATTTCATGCCACTGTGTTAGTGTAGGTTTTGTCAGGCCTTCAAGTTTCACTAATTTTTCTTTTTTTGTTTCAGACTGAACAACCACCTCCACCACCCGTCCAGCATAGAGAATTTAGGCCAGAAAAACGTAGAAGTGTACCACAATCAAATAACCAAACCATGTCACCTGTGTCTTTCATTCCTATTAACAAGAGGCCAGAGTCTCCGCCCCAAAAGAGGAGAAAATTTGTTTCTAGCACTAGCAGTGTACAATCGGGTGATAAAGACTTAGAATCTAGGAGGCCAATGCAACAGCAGCAGCATCCTAGTCCAGATCCTGTGGAAGTCATTCCTGTAGTTCCTAATGTTAAAGTAGAGAAACCAGACTATTACGATGGCGACCAAGGCGGTGGCGATTATAGTGATAACCTTCATACCTCAAACTCTAATCAAGAATTACCTGAAATGTTAGAACATGGCCAAATAGAATCAAAGCAAGAAGCTGTTGATATTTACGAAGACTCAGACTCCTCACATGTCGAAGGACTGTCGGACCTAAGTAAGTCATGGTTTTACCGCAATTTTTCTGCCTGACATTTATGATTCATGCAAACACTTGAAAGCTCTCGATTCCCTGTCTTTCATTTTCTTATTCTGAAGCACCAATATCCAAAATCTGTAATCATACCTCAAGCATTGTTGTGAGAAAAGTCATCCTATTTTGATTCATGATAAAATCATCGTGTTCAACTTTTCACAACTCGCTGAGTTGTTGCAGTCATCCACATCTATCTGAAACCATTGTGACTTGATTCTGCAAATTGTAACTTCAATTTCTGACTCGCTCTTAAGAACCATGTATATATGTAGGGGAGCCAGAAATTGTAGTTTGGAATTGCAAAATTCAGTTCATTTTATCCTGTCACAAAATAGGAATTTGACTGTGGAAACTTGAAAATACAACTTCAACTAAGACAAATGAAAGCAAACATTTGTTAGATCTCATCATTCCTTACCGTTTATTTTAGAGTTCACTACAATTTATCATGATAATTTTTGACTTGAGCCTAGCTTCTTATATTCGATTTTCGAGACCTAGGAGGGATAGAAGGTGTTCCAGCCAAAGATTCATCTTTCATAGATTTCAATATGCATTATTCTCGCTCTGTTCGGTTGTAACATGGTTAATCTAATGGAGCACAGCCTCAGTTTGAGCCTGAGTTTGACCTTTGACAATTTTTTGTTGAGCAACTTAGTCTTTCAAGCCTTTACAAATTCATTTCTCACTGAAAGTGGTATTATAGTGTCAACAGGCAACGTGATCACTCAGATCTGAATCACTAAATACAAAAAGGGCACATGTCCAGAAAACCCAATTGTTCAGGAGACACAGAGAACTGTTCATTTTGTGGTAGATATTTTTTGGAAAGTCGTTATATTTAAAAGAAAAAACCGGTGCTCCGCTTCGCCCTGCGCTGGTATTTTTAAACATTACGTCTTTCCAAAAAATATCTACCACGAAATAAACAGTTTTTTGTGTCTCCTGAACAACTTGGTTTTCTGGAAATGTGCCATTTTTGTATTTAGTGATTCATCTATTCTTGACCTCTCATGCCTGTATCAAGGTAATTGATAGTAAGTGGTAAAATCAGCCAAGTCCAAGTCTTCAACTTTGTTGTATTTATTTGTTTCAGATCAAATCCTGAACAAACCCGGAACTAGTGTAGAATCAGTGTCACAAGAATCCTTACATGGTAAGAATAATGTATCCATTGCGTTCCCCTTGCCAGTCAACTGAGAGAGCTCCTCTGACTCATTTTCTCGCCGCACGTTAATATTGAATGAATTTTAAATTTTTCTGAAACTGAACTTAGTGTCCTTTTTATTTAGCACTCCAATGAAATTTATTGTATAACTATCCATGATACATGTGAGTTTATGGCTTGAGATGATGAAAGATGGGCTCTCTCATTCTATCGTAGTAGTCTATAAGCGAGCAATCATTACAAACTCAGTAAATCAGCAATTTTAGTTCCGAACTGAATTTATGAAAAATTTCTTCTGAATTTTTCATGATTTTTCTGAAGTGATATCACACTGAATAATTTTCTAGTATTGCTGGCTCGCCACTGTGTTGTAATCACACCCTTATTTTTCTTACCAGTACTTCAAAATGGCATGATAAATTTTGGGTCGCAGAAACTTAAATTTAAACTAGTTCTTGCCATGCCTTCATAATATTCTTCAAACATCAAAATTTTGAATGGCCGTAAGCCAGAAATTTCCAATGGAGAAATTCTTAATTATTTAAGTCCTTTCTGCATCCTTTCAAACGAAACCGTTTTAATGTCATGTGGTCCTTTTTAGCCGGTCCTCTTTTTGTCAATTCTGCCTTCAATTTAATTCTTGGCTCTAGGAATCCTGCCGAGTTTCTATGCTCCAATTTCCTTTGATTTATGAGCCTCAAATCTTATGAAATTTTCTGTTAACTTAAATAATCCCTCAAGGCTCCTTTTCTAAAAGAGAGCCTAGGGATTGTATCCTGAATCCTTAATTCCGTGGAATAACTCATATTGAGACAGATATTGGCGCTTTCAAGTGTTGGTCAACTGTTGCATGAACATTATTCCCATGCAGCCAAATGTGACATTAAAAGAACAATTATTTTATCTTTTCCAAGAATGGCAATCTATCTGAATTCAACCTATTTTCTAGACATTTTGTATACTATCTGGTAAAATTTGGCTGCACTGGCTTGCTTTTGCAACTTTTGCATCACTGCTGGTTTGTGTTCTCATGATTTATTATTCTACACTCCTCTCCTATTTTATTTCATTATATTATCAGTCAGTTTTCGCATCATTTCTGATAGAGTTACTGTTGGAAAGGAGATTTTCATCTCATTAATGCGAGAAAAGGTTGAATGTCCCTCCCCCTATCTAGTCTTATTTTAATATAGAAATAGGCTCATATCTTGGATATTGTTGTATAGTTGTTGGAGAAGGTTCCTTAAGCCTCAAGTCTTGACATAAGAGTAAGGATCTGCTGCTGACGAGCACATTCATTTAATTTGTATGAATGTCTTCACATGTATCAATTTTTATGTTTTTGTTTGCATTTCTTATGTCTTCAAATTCCCTTTAGACTTTTCTTCCCTTCATAATTTTCCTCTTCTAGGCACTAAACAAATATTGTCATGTAACTTGTCCTAACAGTTGAGTAATTAGTTCGTAATTTCGGTGCAGGGTATTTATGATCAAACTTCTGTCTTGTGTCATCTTTTCTCCCATCTCACTTGATTCCCCCCCTCCCGTCTTAGCATGCAAAATGCTCCTCTTACAGGGGAGTTTCTATCTCTGCTCTTTCAGTTTACATGAATTTATCGCTGAAAATCTGGTAACATCGTAGCGCGTAGAGTAAACCTCTGTTCGGCATCCAGTGATACATGTAGGTTTTACAAGCTGAACTTCCTTTCACCTTAGCTCAGTATGATTTTGCACTACTGTGTCTATTAATCTTTTTCCAAGCCTTACCTGAGGTGTTTAGAATTCAAGCTTTTTGAAGTGGGTCCCTAGTTTCTTTCAACTGCAAAGCTAATTCCTCTTAGCGCCTCTTTGTTTAGCAGTTTAAGATTAGAATTAAATTTCTCCCTAGGATATCAGTCAGTGCTTTTAGAGACATTTTATTTTGGTTTTCTCCCCCTTCAGACCCCTCCAACTTCTCTATTTTCTCCAAAACCTGAGACCGTGAAATTTCAAATATTTTCATAATTTTATTCACCATTCCACTTAGTTGCTGCTATTATGGTAAGTATGGCACAAACCGTATCAACATCTTGCACTCCCAGTCCCTAGAAATCCGTTTGTTCATTCTCTCCTCATCCCGTACTTCTTGTCTCTTGTTACCCTTCCTATTTTCAAATTTTAGAGTTCATCTCATCACATAATGGTGAGATTGTTTTAGGAAAGCAAAACGGTAAGGTAATTTAAAGTCTTTCTTTGGCAATCTCGTAAATACTGTGAAGAGATGGGCTCCTCCACATCCTGCCCTCCTTTTCATTTCAGTTGTGCTGTGGTTGAATTGAGGATTTGATCTAGTGACCTTCTTTTCATGAGAGAGGTCGCTTGGTTGGTTCTCGCAACCTAAGCACCATCAGCCGCTGTGGAGCTCTTCAAGGCGCTGAATGGAGGACCGTCCGCAAACTTCCAGTATTGGATAGGTTGTGGTTGGTTCTCGCAGCGTCTCTTCTGTGATTGCTGTGAGGATGGTAAGAACATGGTAACGGTACACTTTTCTCCGCAAATTTCTTAATTTTTAGTTCCATGTATTCGATTATCTGACAACTTTATTTTTGCTTTACTTGCACATTCTAGAGGCTCATATTTCTTTTGATATATCCGAAGCACGAGGGTGTGACTTTCATTCTCATGTGCCCAGAATCAGCTCTTATTGAAATGTTTTTTAAAAGTTGAAGACTACGATGAAATTGGATTTCATGAGCTGCCAAGAAAATCTCAGTGCTTTATGTAAATTAAGTGATAGCCTCTCCCCCCGCTCAAGCACTGATAAGGAACCAAATCTAACCTAATGTTTTAATATTGCAATACCACCTGAAGTTAATTTAATGACCATGATAATCGGATACTTGATACTTAGATCTAGTTTCATAATTTGATTCGCGGTCAGAAGGATCTGTAAGTATTTTTCGTGTCCCTCTCTCTATTTCGAATCAGAATGAGCCAAGCTTGTCATGATTGACAAGCTGTGTCAAATGGATAAAAGAGTGTCCCCTGTTTTTGGAGAGAAATTCTTAGTCATTACGAACAGTCTAAGAGTAACTGAAAGGTTTCATCCCCAGAAATTATTCTCTTAACGCATTTGACATAAGCCAGGAACATGTGTTGACTTGTTTCTCTGACGGTAGAGATTTTTGGAGGTGAGAGTTACCTCATGCGATTTGGATGAGTTATTGAGTTCTAAGTTAGATTTTTTCTCCGCCATCTCGTGTCCTTCTTTTATCAATTATGCTTGCACCTCTTTACGTCTTTATCCTCGGAGAAACTGTAAAATGTGGTGGCTTTTTAATTGAAGGGCTTCGAAGATCAGTAGGGTAGGTCTTAAATTAGCTATTTTCAAAACTCTTTATCTTCAATTATCTTCAAATTTTCATAATCACTTGATGTCCCTCACCGATAGGAAAGTTCAATCCAACTTCTTGGAACTGAGAAATAAGACTTCAATAGTTCAACCGAGTACATTTTAAAACTAGTATTCGTCAAATTCATGATAAAAGTAATTTTCTACTAAACTGCCCTTATTCTACTTTTCTGCCAAGCCGTTCATTTCTCATGTGATGCGACAAGCGAGAATCATTATCTCGCCAGTTAATCTTGTATTTCTATAAACATGTATGTACTCAAGTGTTCAGTGAAGCGGTGAATTTAATTTTAGTGCTTCCGTCTTGTCATGCGAAGATCAATTCATCAAGACAATTTGCACTCTTTGAGAAGTAACTGCAGATCCCATGTGTCCCTGAGATTAATATGTATGGCGTGGTCCTATAAGATTCTTAAATTGTCTATGAAGTTCAGTGTCTTGAAAGACAGGTCTGAATTTCCTAGCGAGCGATCTCCTATCTATTTGTAAGCCTTCACCACGACTTGAAGTTAATACTGAATCGATCTTTGCCATGACTGACTTGCCGAAAATCTGCAGCTTCGCTTCGTCAAGTATCGCAAGGTCAGGTAAGTGCACTTTCTTAAGCTCAATCCCAAGATCCGCAGTTCTGCACTCGTAGTAATTTTACGATGGCTGGAGTATTAGTGTTACCAGTTAGGCTTTCGGGGTGTTTTCACGATTTGTCGCCGTAACAGGCAACACATTTTTCAGTCATATTTTTAATTGTGATGATAATAACTTGAATTTTTTGGCATTTATCTACATAGGTTTACGTTTTGTAACGTTTTTCTAAGACTTCTCGCTCTACTTTTAAATTTAACTGTATTAATGGCCGAAAATGTGCTGACTTTTTAGAAGTCGAGCAATTTATCATTAGAAGGCGTTATAAGTAATACGCAACCCTCTGAAGATGAATGCGAAAAAATTCGAGCGATATCATTTCCACTCAAAATCTGACCACTAAATGTGTTGCCTGTGCTGGCGACAAAACTATTCCAGCTAAGGTGAGGTCGGGTAACTGGGCAAGAGCTCTGAGGAAAATGTCCAAATTTCAACTTCATGATTTTTTCCCCATTATTATATTGACAGTGGAGGCTACTTTTAAATTTTTTTTAGTAAGTACAACACCTCGTCTAAATGTAGGAAGAGTCAAAAGTCTAATTCCATCTTTCAATTTTTTCCCACAAATTTTCATAAATTTCCCTTTTTTTTACCAACGTCGTGGGGTAACTGGACTACCCCCCCCCCCCCTAATTTTTGAGTGGGGCATTATCTTTAATTCTAATTGGCCCCGAAGGTGATGTTCTGCTCATGAAGGTTTAAGAAAATGTCATTTGAATGTATATAAAGTGGTTAAGAATGATGTAACAGTTAGCGGCGAAACAACCCTCAAATCTGAGAATTGAATAACGGTAAAAGTAAATTGTTTCCTTGTAGATAAATTCTTAGAACTTTCTGTATTACTACTTATAAAGTAGTATTGTATACCAGGACACACTGTTTGGCCACTTTTAGTGAGATTAAGCATGATACATCTTTAAAAAATGAAAAAAAATTAAGCCGCAAGGCTGATCTGGGATAGAGACAGGCGCCAAAAAGTTCCCTTAAATTTTAAGTGGGGCATTATTTGTAATTCCCATTGGCCAGAAAGGAATGTCCTTCTCATGAGGGTTTCAGAGAATTTCTTTTGA